ACAGTAAGACAAGGAATCATTCCATGTTACATATTCATTAAGTTCAGATAATAAAATGTGACAATAAAAATGTAACATACTTATCTCTCTCTGGAAGTTCCCTGTCTTTCTTGAAGTAGGGAACCCAGAACTGGACTCAGTATTCCAGGTTTGGCCTGACCAGGGCAGAGTGGTCCCTTGACCTGCTGGCCATGCTCTCTTCAATGCACTCCAGCATATCATTGTCCTTCTTGGCCACAAGGCACATTGTTGGCTCATGGCCTACCTGTTGCCCACCAGGACACCCAGGTGTCTCTCTGCAGAGCTCCTTTCCAGCAGGTCAAACCCTAACCTGTAGTGATGTGAGGTTATCCCTTTCCAGAAGTAGAACTCCACAACTGATCTTGTTGAATCTTCTTTCTCTCACTCAGCTTTTCAGCCTGTCCAGTTCTTACTGAATGCAGCACCATCCTCTGGTGTGTCAGCCACTTCTCCCAGCTTTGTATAATCAGCAAACAGGCTGTGTGTGCATTCTATCCTTCATCCAAATCATCGATGAGGATGCTGAACAAGATTGGACCCAGTGTCAACCTCTGGGGAATACCGCTAGTTACAGGCCTCTAAACAGGCTCTGCACCAATGATCATAATCCTCTGAGCTCAGCCAGTCAGAATTCTCAGTCCAACTCACAGTCTGTTTATCTGTCACACACTGTCTAATTTTACCTATGAGGATGTTATAGTAGACAGTGTCAAAAGGCTTGCTGAGATTAGACAACAACTTATTAACCAGCCAGGTCTTTATCTGCTGAATAGCCAACTCACATCTCTTCAATTTAGAGATGAGAATGTGATGTGAGACCGTAACAAAAGTTTTGAAGATTTCAATTTTCTAAGCCATCACAGAACTCTATAAGATTGTTAAAAGGAAGCCAGGGTGGTGGGGAAGGAATTTTATCTTTTATATTGTCTTTTGATTACAGTAACCCTATTCAAGCATTCATTTTCTCTGAAAACTGTGATTTATGAGCCCAGAGTATCTCACTTCCTAAATGCTCCATCACTTTCCCGTGTGTATGGAAGAGAATAGTTGCTTTCCACTGTGCAGCAGATGTCCCTTGGGGACAGTATACAGTAAGTACTAAGGAGTACTTAGAAGGCAAAATTATTGAGAGCACAGCTTACGATCTGAGGATATCTATCCACATGAGATTAATCCAGCACATGAGAGCAGCAGCAGCCCAGACAAAGCTGTCAGTCTCCTTTGTTGTTTTAGCCTGGACTGAGGCTTATTTTGACAAAAGCACACTTCTTATTTAAAAACAAAACAAAAAAAAAACCAAAACACTTCTTTGCGTAGTTTTAATCTAGTTACAGCTGAAGCTTAAGATCATTTAAGAAGCTGTATAGTTTTTTTTGTACTAGCTGTCTGCAAGGAAAAACAAGACTTACTAGGCATTTTAAAAATTTTCCTGAAAGTTTTAAATATGATTCCTTTAAACAAATGTAGCATGCAGATTTTCTAAACACATCATTTACTGACTGTATCTGAATTCAGACTCTGTAGAACATTTGTTCAGTGATTTGTTTTTTAAAGAAACCAGAAATTAGTGTTTTTCACAAAAAGAGAACACCAAAAATATATTTGCTTCATCCATTGGGCAAAAGGGAAGGCAGAAGGAAAGGTAAAGGTTTTGAAATACCTCATTTACTTTCAGCTAATAGGAAAATAATCTCTTGCTGATTATTACAAAACTACTCTGCGTATTCTAAGAGAATAAGCACTGAAGTGCTAAGTTTTATAAAGCAGATGTTTGAGGCCTGTATTTAGCGGTGTTCCTTGGGGGTCAGTGCTGGCTCTGGTCTTGTTCAGTTTCATCAGTGACCTTGATGTGTCCGTCCTCAACAAGTTGATGATATGTAAGAGATTATTATTCTTTTTGTCTCTTTTTGAGACAATTTTAATCATTGCCTCAAAGCTTGCTGGGAACACAGATGAACAAGTCCAAGCAAGTCCTGGCCAAGGGTTGAGAAATGCTTTTTCTGAGGAACACAGATGGACAAGGCCAGGCACATCACAAAAGAGAGATAAGCCACAGATTAATGGCCAGGAAACAGTCTTTCGTGTGGGCTTAATCTCAAGGAAGATGGTCATCTCAGGAGGTGCTGCACACGACTTTTACCCAAGCGCCCAGGAATGCCATGATGGCAGAAGAAGAAAGATAAAAAGGGGACCTACAATCATGAGATTGGTTTTCAAGCAACAGATTCCTCATGAAGAAGACCTTGCTGCCCAAGGCCGGCCATGTTGCTGCTGCTCTTCCCCTGCTGCTTTTGCCTTGGACCTTTGAAACGTCGTGCAACGGGACCGCTGCTGGATCCTGGTGGTGACTATCCCGGATTTATGCAATTCTTGCTTCTTTCCTATCTTTTCTATCGCTCTCCTTCCCTTCTCCATCTCCCTGATTAGGATTTATAATAAACTGGTTGGACCAACATCTGAGCTGTTGTTTCTTAATCTCACGCCAGGTATGTTATATTAAAAGAACCTCCTCTCCCTCTTTTAAATTGGAGCGAGACATGATACAAAGCTAAAAGGAATGGCCAGCAAATCAGAAGGCTGTGTTGCCATTCAGTGAGTTCTGAATAGGCTGGAGAGTTGGACAGAGAGGAACCAGATGAGGTTTAACAAGAGCAAGCGTAGAGTCTTGCACCTGGGGATGAATAACTGCATGCACCAGTATGGATTGAGGGATGACCTGCTGGAGATGAGCTCTGTGGAGATGGACCTAGGCCTCCTGGTGGACAACAGTTTGGCCATGAGCCAATGGTTGCCAAGGAGGTCGATGGGTGCATTAAAAGGAGTGTTGCTAACAGATCAAGGGAGGAGATCCTCCAAATCTGTTCTGCCCTCACCATGCCTCACCAGTGCTGGGCTTCCCAGTACAAAAAAGACAGGGATCTCCTGGAAAGAGTCCAGTGAAAATACACAAAGGTGATCAAGGGTCTGGAACATCTCTCTTATGAGGAAAGGCTGAGCGACCTGTGTCTGTTCACCCTTGAGATAGGAAAACTGAGAAGGGATCTGGTCAATGGTCATAAATATCTAAGGTGTGGGAGGCAGAGACATGGCCAGACTCTTCTCATTGTTGTGTGGCAATAGGACAAGTGGAAATAGCCACAAACTGAAGCATAGGAAGTGTACAAATGTGATGAGATCCTCTTCACAGTAAATGTGATGGAGCACTGGAACAGGCTGTGCAGAAAGGTTGTGAATTCTCCTTCTCTGAGATGTTCAAGACCCTGCCTACCTATGCAACCTGCTGTAGGGAGCCTGCTTTGCAGGGGAGGTGGACTCAATAATCTCTAGAGGTCCCTTCCAATTGCAATAGTTCCATGATTTTGTGATATTAGCTTGATAGCATCCTCACAGTAGGTTACACTGTTTTATTGAAGGTTTAGCCCCCATGCCTTGAGAATTTCTGAAAGGACTTTAAAAGTGTTTCCTTAAACTTACTAAATTTTCTCTTTTTTTTTTTGTTAACATTTACTTCTTTCTTCTTTTGAAGAGTTTATCTAGTCAAGATTTATCTAGATTTTTAAAAAGGCTTTATCTAGTAAACAAAAACAAACAAACAAACAAAAAAACAACCAAGAGACTCATTCCTTATTTGAGATTTAAAATATGGTTTGGTGTTTTGTTACACGTCTAACTCTCTTTTGGTTAATTGATTGCATAAGAATAGCTTTATTTTTGCAGAGATTATCACTTGTAAGGAGCACAGGTGCAATTTTGTAGTGAGAAAAAAAAAATGATTAACAGCTTTAGTGAAGAGAGTTTACATTGACTGCAAACTGTTTGGTCTAAGATTTAGTAATTTAAATTTGTCCAATTAAAATATTTCTATTCCCGTTCTAGTGATATGAGATTATTGACTACAGATTACATATTGGATTATTTTTTCTAATCTAATTCCAGGCAAGAGAAGGAGAGAATGCTATGGTTATTCACAATGATTTTAAATTTTGAAGTATTGAAAGTTCTGCCTGCAGCCATGAAGAGCTGGAAACGGGCGGACAAAAAAGACAAAAGATAAGTGATAAATAGAATTTATTGCAAATATCATTAGTTACTGCATGATATAAATGTACTCATGATAATAAAGACATAAAGGTCTTTTATTTATTAAAATTAACAACAAGGTTTGGAAGGTCTTGCCTGTACAACTTCCAAATAAAATAGCCAATATTTTTTTTAGCGTGTGTACTTGTGATATTATCCAACCAAAGACGTGAAATATCTTCCAACAGCCAAGAACAACAAAAAAGCTTCAGATAAGCTGTTATGTTCAATGTACAATTTATTTTTTGCTGTTGTTGTTGTTGCTAACATTTCAGCAAGATGTGACTCACAGCTTTCTGTGACTCTGCATTGCAGCTGAAATACTCTTTTTCAAATCTAATGCTAAACATGATAAATTATTCAGATCACTGAACTACAAGACAGAGATGTTCAGATGCTCCCTGGGCATTTAGGGATCTGATATTTATTTTTTCCGTGAATTATTACTGCTAAAGCCAGACATCTTTTGGCTCTCTAAATGAACTTAAAATCTAATAATGTAAACACAAGTAAATACTCAACAGCGAATGCTTTTACTCAAATATGATACAAGTTGCCATCAGAATCTATGTAATTTATGATACAGTCTTATCAGTCAGCCGTTAGGTAATAAGAAAAAAACTTACTGTCATACACAAAATATCTTTTTCATAGTTTCGTTAACCAAGATGCATGATTTTCCTGTGTATCATTGCAATTTAGGGAGATGTCTCTCCTGTTTTAATTTACAATCATTATCCCCTGCTCTATTATTATTAGAGCATGTAATAAGTTGATCTCCATCTTGTTTATAAGTTCCCCTCAGATGCTGAAAGGCTGCAACAAAGCCTTCCAGAAACTTTATTATCTCCAAGCTGAACATGCTCAGCTTTAACAAAAAAAAAAAAGTGGAGGTGAAGTAATTGAATCAAAGACTCAAAATATAGAAGGGTTGGAGAAAGGATTTAATGAACTTTAAATGAACTTTAAAACACTTTCAGGTTACTTTTAAAAAAAAAACCAACATTTTTCCTAAATGTGGATTTAATATTGAATATTGAAAGGTATAATACCACATCTTGTCTGTTAAATCCATCTTATTTTATTAATAAGATGTCAATCAACTAAATAGAACTAAGCTAGAAAACACTGAAAGAAAAGCTTCATAAAACAGTGAGTAAAGGTCTTCATTTAGGTACATTAAGGAACAAGAATAAATATTTTATTTACTGTCACTGCATCTTGATGCTGATCACAAGACATAAGAAACATCCATCCTTGTTACTGCTATTCATGTTAGCTATTTCACTGTAATCCCTGCCTTTTCAGATGCACACTGAGAAGACTGTTGTTGAAAATATTGTTGAAAATATGTATCACTGTAACAGAACAATTTTAGCATGTGGACTCTCTTTTTTCCATTCATGATGCAAAACAATTCCACAGACTTAAAGACTAAGCAAAAGACATGCAGAAATTTTTCACTCCTGAAGGAACTAGACATCCTTATTAAGGCCTGTGTGTTTCATGGAACCAGCCTGCTTCATAACAAGTTTATTACTCTTATTTCAGCAACCTTGAAAACCTATTCTATCTTTTCTCCTTTGAATGGATCACCATATCACAAAGAATATTTAAAATTCTCCACCTTTTCTAAAAAAAGGATGTAATGCATGGCCTTAATTGCAGATAGCATCTTCTTTTTTCTAGGGAAAACTCAGTGTTTTCTTATATGAATGGCAGTGGCAGGTGTAAAATTCTCAAACTAATATCTCATGACAAACATTTCCTTGTTTTTTGAAAAAGCTCGTTTTAAACCCATGGCTGAGACAAAACCCTAGAGTACTGAGGCTTACTTTTAGCTTACAATCTAATGTATTTCTGGACTGAAAGTGTGTTCAGATTTAATATTTGAATATTTCACATTTTTAAAACTTTGAATTTCTATACTTTCTGAAAATAGATTAAAAATCTTGTCTTCCAAAGATGAAATGAAATGCTGTACTTTATGTAATTTAAATTACCAGAATCACTGTAGCCCAGATGCATACCTTCCTTAGGATCCACTCTTAACCCATTTATCCACTCAGTTAGTAGCAATGCAATTCCAGTTTGTCTTCTAGGAAAGACCTTCTCATGTGCTTACTGCAATGCAGTTATCTCTTGATTCAATTAGCACTGTTTTGTGTTTGTACACAAGGCAGCCATGCTGACGCTGGCTAAAGATCTGATTGATCTAATGTCCTATCACTAGCTGATAACAGATGCTTACAGAATCAGTGCAAGAATTAAGTATAGAATGAACTTTTTTTTAGTTTATCCTTCTAGCTTCTGGCAATTGATTTATAGACTGCTTGAGCTGGAATGTGCATTTGGCTGACCATGTTTTATGGCGATATGCAGACCCTATAGTTTTATGTAAATCTTTTTTTGATAGGTTCCACAATCTGATTAAATTGACTTTTTTTTTTTCTTTTTCTTTTGGGGTGGAGGGGATGAGGGGGGTGGATACCACAGACTTATGGTATTCTGATAAACTTTTTTCTATGGTACAAAATGGACCCATTTTATACCGAAAATCCCCAGTAGAATTGCATTTATTTTTCAGAAGACAGTCTATTGACTGTAGAGTTGTCATTTATCTTCTGAGTATTAAAATAAGTATCAAAGCCCAAAGTCTGGACAGCTTAATAAAATCAGAACATAAAAATACGACTGTCTCTTTGGAATAAGCAACATCAGTTTACAAATGAACATGCATCTATCCTGTGTTTTTACCACCTCATCACACTAAGGATCTAGATGTCAATACACATTTACACTAATAAATTCACTGATCAGATCGATAGCATATATTCTTATACAGTAATAAATGTCTCTGTGCAATAACAAAATCCTGGTAAGTATCAGGAGAAAAATATGGAGTAACAGTCTTACCTATATTCCTCAAATTCATATTTGCATATATGTGCATAGGAAATACTTCTTCACCACTTTATTATTTTAATTCATATTTAGTCTTTCAGAATATGATAAAACTCATTATTGCTGTATTAGCTAAAAGTGGTACTGCAATAGGAGTTAAATTTTATTCATAGCAAAATATTGCTTTTCTTTTACCTCTGGAATAATTTCCCAAAGTCTTTAGAGACAATAACCAAACTTCTGAAACGATCAGAGTTTCATCATGCAAAATCAGAACTCTTTGAGTAAGCATAACTCAATTGCAGAGGTCAAGCCACACGCAGTTTTTAAATATAGCTGACTCCAATACATTAAGAAGTTATGTTCTCAGCAAACATGTTTGAGGAAAAGAAAATGGTATCAGAGACGCTCTTGCAAGCTTTTAAGAAAACAACCAACAAAATACAAAATATTTTTTATTTTCCCAATAATATTTTCCAATACATACCTTAAGTTTTGTGACATTTTGACACAGCTAACACATTTTTTGCAATATCTTTAAAAGCAAGTAGACAGATGCATTTTTTTTTCTGCTGGAAAGTTCCATCCCACAAAAAAATGAAGCACATGAATATGCAGATGAAGATTTATAATAAACAGAACAGAGTTCTGTACTTCAAGGAGTATTTTTGCAAGTCAAGATCACTCCTGTCTCCCTTGGTGTCCTGTATCTTATAACATACCAGAAAAGGACAGACAGCTTCCTTATCTGTAGTGGGGAGGTCCCCTGGGCATTCCTGGCTGTACCCCTGGAAAGCGTGGGTGCCCAGGTAGATAGCCTGGTGCTGCATACCCTCGTGGCCCTGGTGGCCGAGTCACAGCGATGGGTGGGGGAAGAAAGTTTCCTCTGCCCTGTGGTGGATTGTGGCCATTCGGGGCAGTGCCTGGATGCTGTGGTGCCTGAGAGGAACTTCCTTCCTGTTGCTGACCTGTTTTTTTTGCTTCATTGCCACTCTGTTCTTTCTTGTTATCTGAAATGTGTTAGGAGAACAGAGTTAAGGAATGAAAATATAGAGCAGAAAATCTCTCTGAGGGAAAATCTGTAGCACATTATCTATTCCAGAATATGATGGAAAGTCTAGGGCCCAAAGCTCCAACAGCTGTGTGAGCTATAAGTAGATCTGCTTTGCCTTGTGCCCAGGCTGCAAGATGAAATATACAGATTAAAAGGTGTCATGGGGGACAAACAGAAGGAACAGGGAAACCACTATTTACCCATGCACAGACAGGTTATTTGAAGGAAAAAACACAAAACCCAAGGCAGCCTGTATCACATCAGGCTGTGGAAAAAAATTGAAAGGCTAGGGGCAAGAATACAAATGAAAGGAGAGGATGGAAGCAAATCTGCTATCAAAGTTGCAAATTAAAATCATCCTTGCCTGCTCCACCCCCACCAGTGCCTCTTTACCACAGGTCTGAGATACTTGATGTGCTTGATATATAATGTTCAACTTATTTCAAGTATCTAAGGAATAGAATGTGAAGAGCTGTCTCTATAGAATAGTCACAAGCAAGTTGAAAGCTATGGGTGACAGAGACTGATGCAACAAAGGGACCCTTGCATCAGTGTCTACTACAGGCCACCCAACCAAGCAGAGCCTGTTGACGAGGTCCTACCTCCAGCTACAGCAGGCACTGTGATCACAAGCTCTTGTCCTCCTGGGGGACTTTAACTACCCCGACATCTGGAAAAATAGCATGGTGAGCTGCAGGCAATCCAGGAGTCTCCTGGAATGCATTGAGGATAACTCCCTAAGTCAAGTAATTGAACCAAGGGTAATGCAATACTGCACCTGTTGCTCACCAGTGCAAGTGAACTGACTGGTGACATCAGGATTGGAGGTTGCTTGAGCTGTAGTGAACAGGCAATGGCTGAGTTCATGCTCTGGAGGGACATGAGACAGGAAAAGAGTAGAAACAGGACAGTCTCTGTACCTCAGTCAGGAAAGGAAAGTCCAGGAGTGTGTATCTCCCCTCTTGAGTGATACAAGCAAGCTGTTAATAACAGACAAAGAGAAGGCTGGGCTTCTCTTAACGATTATTTTTTGCCTCGCTCTTCTCTGATAACTGCTTGCCTCACAGCCCTCAAACTTTTGGTTTGGCAGGAAGGGACTGAAAAATCAGAATCTCTCCCACTGCAACTGAACTCGATATTATGGTATTTCTTAAATGATCCAAAGAAAGAAAAATGGATTGGCTAACACTTGTCATGCAGTATGGTGAATATTTTTTATAGATATTATGGCAAAGGAGTAGTTAAGGTAGAGAAGAAGCCTATGATCCAGTGTGCAAGTATTCCTCACCTTGAGAAATTTAAATCTGAATTTACCTTGATTTGCAGCAGATTCATCTTGCTTGCCTTCTTTTTGCTTTGACTGTGGTGGCTCTGTCTCAAATGGATTTTCCTCTTGTTCATTTGATTTTTGCGCCTTTTGTTTATTTCTTCTTTTATTTTCTTCTGCTTGCTAATGATGGAGAGATAGAGAGGGCATCTTTCAGTAACCTGAATGTATTCTCTAACAATTGTAATAAAAAGAAATAACAATTCCCGATTCCTTACACTTTGTAGTTTCTTTTTAAGTTCCAGGTTAGCTTCCTTGTAGGACTTGGATGTAGCATTAAGATAATAAATACTCAGGCTAAATTTAAAGAAAAAGAATATATCTTGTTAGATAATAGTTTAAATAGAAAGATTCTTGCAAAATTCCTATACCAATAACTGTAGTGCTAATACCAAAACTGTATTTTTCCTCATTTATTAGGCCTAATCAGAACAAGTATTTTGACATTGAACAATGGAATATGAAGAAGGCATACTTATCTCAAGGGAAATAATAACAATAATAATGTTTAAAAAAACAGAAATAAACATGGCAGCTAAGGTAAATTGTGCATCAGGCTATGCCTCACTATGAGGCATGTTCCAATGACTAAAGTTAAATAAGTTATTCAATGAAATGTAATTACCTTATATGACATACTCTAAAAACGAGTAAACCATATTTAGAAGAGTCTTTAAACTAATACAACAGACAAGCTCAAGTACTGGCAGAAAAATAGCCAAAATCATAACTTTTAATTTTTTATCTAAATCACAACCTCATTCTATTAAACAATAATACCACTACATAGTGAATTTTCACTTTTTAATGAATTGTATTCCTTTCATAATGACTCTATGAGATTATTATTTTTTACTATCTTAATTAACGGATTTCTGATAGGAAACCTTTTATTGAAGTAAGAAGCAAATAATCTTCATGTCTTATTTGCACCACTTTTCCTGATTTTGCTTAATATATTATTTATTCACTCCCCATCTTTCCCCTAACCTCCTAAATTTTATTTTTATTTTCACCTTGTCCCATAGCAAGATAGGAATTGCACTCAGAATAATTCAGTGGGAACAAACTGTATAGTTCAGAGGACAATTTAGTCCCTTTGCTTTTCTAGCTAAGAGTTAAACAGGTTGAAGCACTAAGTGAATCTTCCTAAACTTTCATCTCATAATCTCATTTGTTTCATTGAAAGCCTTGTGCAATTTCTGTTCCATTCTGTAGTCTCATTGTGTTCCTGGCAGTTCCACAGTGTAGGGTAAGCCCCTGTCCATTTGTACCTAGAATTTGCTTTTAGTTCAGTATGCTAAAAAAATTTTTATATATGTGCATTAGTTTAAAATACCTTTATCAAGGACTCAATACAGTCTTAGAGAAACACTATTCAGGTTCATTATTCTTTATCTGCTACAGACCTATTAAAAATCCATAACAAGAAATTGAACATAAGAGAATTTTAGAAATATACTTGTGACTGGAACATCTCTATTGTATATCTCTCTAACTCTCTCTCTCCCTTCAATTCTATCTCAAAGAGTACAATTTTTATCAAGGAAGGGCTCTGGCACTCAAGATCAGACACACAATGTTAATGAGAAATGGTTCAGCTTCTTGGTAACCAGCATTCTAATAACTTTGTACTGAACTTGTTAAGGATTTATGAGATGTAGTTCTACCTCCTGGACAAGCTGATCAAGGTCACAACACTTCAAATTCCATACCCCTTTGCATTTTGATTAGGATTTTTCCATTAAAAAAAAAAAAAAGAAGAAAGCTGAAGCTGAAGAGATCATCGTCTGTGGAAAAGTACATTAATTATGACCAAATAGAAGACTTGAATTCTTCTGCTTAAGCAATAAAAACTCAGAGTAAAAGAAAATGAACAGACTTTTCATTAAGTATTAAGCAAGATGTCAGTTAATATTCTATACGTACACCATCAGTAATATAAAAGGTAGGATGAGTCCAGGGTTAGAGGCATAACCAAATACCTTCCCAAACCAAGAAGGGAAGTCATGCTCCAGAGTTTCTGATATGACTTCAAACATTCTTGTTTTCCCACTATTAAACAGAAAATGTGAAAATATGTGAAAAATTAAAATATTTGGCAATGTTAATACAGGAGCACGCATATATAAATAAAACATATCACGCCAAATCTGGGCAAAAGGACAAAAAATCTGTATTTGGCACTATTTAAAACTTAAAATTCTGTAAGCATCTTTCACACTAGAACCCATAATAATCTCCATAACTTTCCCATATAATGCAGTTGAAGTAGCAGGTCCATAATTTCCTGGGTTTTCTCTCATGTACTTCATGTGTATAACACTGTTCAGCTCCAGCAGGCAGGCATCTCTCTAATCTTCCAAGATCATTGCTAAATCATTGATAAAAACATCTACTAACTGCTTCAGTACTTGGATGAATGCTGCCAGGCTCTACGCTGTGACTCAAATAATAAGAAACCTCACTTTGCACCATTTGCTTTGTTATCATCACTTCTGTAAAATTTAAGCAAGATTATGCCTCAATAAACCTTCAGAATGTCACACTATTATCCCTTTAGGTCACTGTGACAAATGCAAGTGGCTAAATGAATATACTAAAATAAACCAAAATCAGAATTTCACATATTGTGTACTCATTAAAATCATATGTCATGCTAAGTACCAATTAAAGATGCTGAAAATGGTCCTGAACTTTCCAATTGAAAGTATGGCTATATTTAAACTAGCTTGAATAGAAAGCACGTTTGCACTCATGAAGCAGACCTAACTATTTAGAAAAGACTAGTGAATACAGAAGTCTTGAGAACTCAGGGAGCATATTCAGGACCCCAGTGGAAATAAAGGAGCATGAAATATAATGTCAGCTAGAGATATCATAGCACTCAAATACTGTACCACCACCTTGAGCTGCAGCACCAGTATACATTCTATCATGTCACTATTACAAGGGATACATAGACATTTACTGAAAATCACCACGCTCAAGCCAGAAGACCACAGTGGCGTAACTGGCAACTGCTTTACTCCTCAAGAACAATTTCTGGCTTAATTAGAGCAAGAACAACAAATGTTTACATTACAGCTAACTAAAAGAAAAGATTTTCTGTTCTACACTCAAAAAAAAAAAAAAAAAAAATCTTTGAAATCATTAACCAGTTTTCTTGGATTCCAGCTTCAAGAATCATTACACTAAGAAATGCCACACTAAAAATTCAGCATATCAGGTGCTAACACTTTTTAAGGAAGCTTATTTTCATTACTGGATCATTCACTGATGAGGCAGTACATCATATCATTAGCAAAAGACGTATATAAAACGCAAAAGACCTGAAAGGGCCACAGTCAAAAGATGGTGGAATGGAGACAATGGTGTACACAGCAGGCAGTGTAGAAAGAAAGAGAATGAAAAGCAACATGGCCATGTAGAAGTTGTTTGATCTGGAGGCTTTGAAGACTCTCTCCTGGGGAACATTGCAGCACATCACTGCCCAGCACTGCAGGTACATTGAAGTATGGAGTCGGAACACATTGATTGCTGGGAGACATGGAGCATAAAAAGATCCCATCCTAGAAAAAAAAAAGCAAAAAACCCACAATCTTAGAACATTTTCTGCTAGAACTTCTGCCAGGATATACCGCCTGTTCCCTACTTCATTCTGCTTTGCATTCATGTACACTGCATTATTTCATACAACCTTGTTGACACTTTTTTTTTTTTTTTGGTAATGGTCTTGTCTCTCCTTGCTTTAAGAAATACCGGAGGCACACGGACAGAATTCTCCATATGCAGTTTTTGTTTCAAAATTCCAAATTCATCTTTCTCTGCAAAGGAGATCACTTAATGAAATGTTACTCACTTACCTTGTGCGGTTAGTTTAGGTAGTATTAGGTCAGTTTAGGTTGTATTACATAAACATGCACAGCACAAAAGCTAAGTATTACCATAATAATGATCTAGTTTATTCCTTATATATTTCTTAATATACTGGCACCACTTTAGGACGGAATTATTTTTGCTACATTGACTACGTCTAGACTACAGAGATGTCACTTCAGAATACATGATATTAACATTTCCCTTTTCTTTCATGTATATTCAGTGAAAAGGAAAGATAAAGGCTTTACAGCTATGATTGAAGAAAGAGAGTACCTCATGGCCCACCCTACTCCTTACCCACATGGAAATCAATTGCAATATACTCTTCAATATCAAGAAGATTCTCAGTAATCTACATTTTTAGTAATATATAGTTTTAGTTTTTAGGTATGACACTTCTTATAGGTAGACAAAAACTTGCCAGTAGCTTTTTGATATAGAGAAGACTTGCAAACATTTTGCATCCCAATCACTTTGTGAATACACAGAGAAAGAGAATAAAGGAGCTTTTCATGGTCTATCTCATCTACAGAAATAATGCACACATACATCTCTCATCCCTTCTATTTTAGTGGCAGTTATAACTGCACCTGAGGCTTTTTTTATTATGTTTCAGATGAGCATGAATTTGTGAAAACTGAATTTGTGACACCACGACAAAACAGAAATGAATGTATCCTATGTATGTATTAATGGTAAATATGATTTTGGCAGTGAATGTTCATTACTGTTTGGTCAATTTTTTTTGCTGTTTTGATGTATTCAGTTCGTCAATCTGCAAGAATCAGTAAGCAGGAAGAAAGATTCTATATCAATATGACATTAGAAACACACAAGTCACAGATTCTGTGAAGCCCCCATTCTACTGAAAGTAAGAACAGAGCCATTGTAATGCTTTGTGAGGTGTGTCCAGGTCCAGCTCAGCCCAGAGAGCTGCCTTCAGCTGCATAGCTGTACTCAGCCCTTCCTCTGCCACCACATCCATGCTGGAACCAGCCTAAATCTAGGGACCATGTGAACCACCAAGGACATACTCAGGTTGCTCAAGAGGGATAAGCTTCTGTGGTGCTGTGGCTGGACCCTGGGATGAGGAGCCTGAGAAGGAGAGGTGTAGCGGGAGTGCATGGTGCCAGCAAAAACTCACTTCCTCAGAAGCTGGAAACGGAGCACTCTCCTCATTTCTAGCCGTGTCCAAGGCAGGACTAAGCCTGTGCATGCACAGGAAGGAGGTATGTACAGCTCTGTTCATTCTGTACAGGCCAAAAATAAATTAATAAAACAACCCCATGGGAATTACAGAAGTGAGAATTTTTACTCAAGCAAAAACTGTAATCCACAGAGTACTGTTAAAGGCAAAAAGCAAGGCCCTAGCAAGAACTAAGAAGTCAGCGATGCTTGAGGAGGGCAGTTCTGAAGATGGCACAGCATCTAATATGAGGATAGATGTTTACCCCTCAGCTACATTCCAAGAATGGAATGAAATTTAGATCTTTCCTCGAGGACTACTCACTACTATTGTAGCAGGAACATTTGATACATACTCACATTCATATAGTACTATGTATATTTAAGGCACTTTTGAACATGGTGCATTAAAATAAACTGGAGGATATTTCAGTTTCAAAGCATTCAAATGACTGGAAAACAATCAACAGTAAGACAGGATTTCACCCAGCCTTTTACTGCAAAACTCTACAAAAGTCTGATTCATCTAGATTCAGAATATCAGCACAGAACTACTTTAGAAATACACCCACTTATTTCCCTGTACTGGAGTACTGCATTACACTAGCATCAAATTAAATCAATGAGAAAAATTGGCATTTCACACATGCTGCTAATTCCTGCAGTACTGCAGTAAGTGCTAATGCACAGAGGCACATTACAGACATAGCACACATTGCCACACTTACCAGATCATGCCTTGATTAAATATCAGTCCAAGCACATTCCCACTTATATCAAATTCTGAATATGATGGCTGAAAGAAATAACAAATGCTTTCATCAAATTTGCACAGAAGCTTCTGAAATGGTTTATCTAGATGAAAACTGTCACTTCCAACAGCAGTGTAATACTTGCATTGTGTTGTAAAGATGTTCATTGCATATTATCAGTGAATAATGAGACAAATGAGGATGGCTGAAGGCCAACAGACAGATTTTAATACTGGTTGCAGAATTTTATTGATGTTTGTTTTTCTTTCTTTGCTTAGAAGATGCTAATGGAGAATTAGATCTCTGGGTATTGGATAAATTTTAAAACAATAATCCCTATTTTATCCACTGGAGTGAAATCAAGATTTGGTAGTACCCTATCCATCCCCTGCCCTCTCCCGCCCCCACCCCAAAAAAGGGGCTGCTCAGTTTTAATTCCTTTTCAAATGGTAGAACTACATTTATATTTTAAATTTAGAAATTGCACTGTTGAAGAATTAATTAATTAAATGCCTTGTGAGAATTCAACAAAATACGCTCATAGTACTATATTTTAATATGCATAGCAATTTTAGGAATAGGAGGGTACTTCACAGAAATAGTGTGAATATTCACATGCTAAAATGTATAAAATATATGTGTTTTAGCACTGGAGTGTGCATACTAGGAGCAGTGATTCACCATGGATCCAATACAGCGAAAATGTAATGTTGGCTTCCTAACTTGTTATTCATATTAGCCAAGTGTCATTCATAGATTTCAGTGACATTTCCATGTCTTCACTCACCCCATTTACCAGACTTTTTAATTCATGAATATTTTCTAGCTGCAAGCACTGAGTACACTGAATATGAGCAACAAATTAAGTACACACTTATCAGTATTTATGCATGTGAGTGACGATCTGACAAGGACAGTTAAAATAGCAAATCAGATACTTACAAATCCATATTCCAAGTCCCAGCACCAGCAGTAATTGAAAAACCTAACAAAGACAGCTCTCAAGAAATCACCAATTAGAATTGTGATGTATGTTGTCATCGTGTCAGAGACTGTCAGCCGTACAAACTCCTATTAAAGCAATATTTTCTTTTAAGAATACATGTATGCAATAATAATTACAATAATGATAAAACACTGGACCAGTGTGTGACTAAATGTGCTTCCTGTGCTACTATTTGGTAAAGACTGTCTTCTCCCAGTTCAACAACTGAAAAATCCAGGAGAAAGACTGCCCTACATTTTTTACAGATATCCTCCACTTCTTCTTATGCTCATAACAAATTACATGATTAGTCTGAAAAATGTTTCCAGACAATACTGCTGCTATAGAAAAACTCTAAAACCCCTTCTGATCACTACAAGTCTGGGGAGATTCAAAAAAAGAAGAAAACTCTACGATACTTATTCCTCTTATTTCAGTAAGTTCCACTAAACTCTGCTGTATCAGGGCTTACCCTAATTGCCAAAAAAACTATTATTGTTCTCTCTGGTCTGAAAATACAGAGAAAATCAGCAGAGTAATGAGACCTGGGAGTTCTTAGCTAATCATTCCATATCAGTGAAAAGAGTTCAGTGTTTGTTTTCTTCCTGCCTTTCTGTTCCTTGCTGCCACTTGAGAGTATTGATAATAAGTGAGGAGACTGTCACAGTGAGGGAGCAATAGCACAAGTTGTGATTCAGTGGTGAATTCAGTCTCATGGGCAGGAAAAAAAAAAAAAAGAGAGAGAGAGATGATCAATCAGAGAAAAGAAACATGTTGGGAAATTCTTTGTAAGCATCATATCATATAATACGAATAATTATGAATGCTTAACTGTATCAAATAAAATGAGTAGATTTACTAAACTGATGTTCTTTATTTTACATGGTATTACTTGGCTTCTCAAATACACACTGCTAACAAGAGCTAATCTCACATATTTCCTTGTTGAGATATTCATCAGTCTGTTCTAAGTCTGTTGTCTTCAGAATCTGATTTTGCTTGATACAAACTTTGATCAGAATTACTACATTAATTGTTACCACTGATCCAACTTTCTTTTCATAGTTGCAGGCTTTGCAAGACAGAGGTGAGACAAAGAAGATGAAAAAAAGAAGAAGAAAAAATAGAAATCCTTTTATGCTGTTAACTATGCAGAAGGATCTCCCTACCAGATAAAATTCAAATAAATAGCTGTTTCTGAGCTTTGCAGCTTGAGAAAAAAATAAGTCTTACATCTTCATTTCCTCATGTTTTCGCAACTTAATTTAACTTATCAGCAGGAATAAACAGAAATTTAATATGATTTCTTGTAACAGACTATGTTTTATTTTCAAATATGAACTCAAAACGTTACATTACCTGGCCTACCATTGTTTCCCAACATGGTCCTCTAGGAACGTCTGCAGGGTCCACCTGTATTGGAGGAGCAGTTGAATTTTCTGGAATAGTGCCATTGTACAGACTGGCTTCCCATATTGTCATGTTATACTTGACTATCTTTTCTTCTTCCAACTAAATATTTAAATTAATGAGGAAAAAAAATAGATTATAAGGTTATACTACCAAAATCCTTTCTAATCCAAGACTCTCTCATCTTTCACTGATACGTCTGTGACAGTCTTAAACAGATATCTTTGACCTGGTGTATATTAAAAATAGTGAAGAGAGTTAAACTGCTTGCCTTGAGATTGATTTCATCCATTAGGGCAATAATGAAAGTGTAGAGATTGCCAAGAAAAAGAGCAAATATGCGTCCAAGCTGCCATCTTAGAGCTATTCGAGGGTGGTAGTTTTCCAGAGAACTGATTACATCAAATAAGGTTGGACAGAACATTCCCAAAAGTGACATGACCATGTTTACCTAGGGAGGTGGGAGAAGAAAAGAGAAAAAGTTTACAGTGAAATGTTAGAGGCAGGATCTATTATTATTACTAATTGTAGCGGTGAGTGCATTTTCAGTGCTACTTTTCATTTGGTATTTAGTTGAAATGAGTGAAGAGCAGAATACACACTGAGAGTCACAAGATGCTTTTGCAAAGAACAAAGTGAAAACTTATGATCTACTGTAGACATATGGAAGTGTGTTTTTTTTTTAATTTTATATTTTCCTTCAATCTCAGAAAAAAAGTCAAATACTAGATTTTTACCTACAATCTACATTTTAAGCAAAATTCAATCAGAGAATTTAGCAAAAATTATTAGCTATGTGAAACATTTCTCTAAAAGTACAATGTTAAATTAAATGGCTGAGACATCACTCATATCTTCACTGAATAAGCAAACACAAATTAGTCTTGATGCTTTCTGCATATATATTTTTTTTATGCCTCTAACAAGATTAATTCATCATCATATATGTATGGGAATTGAACAAGTTCACTGAAAGCAAACTGAGAAAAATAAGCTTTCATAGAAAGTTTGAAATTCAGCATAGATTGTGTATTCTACTGACAAGGGAGGCATTCCAAGCATCTAACATTCTGAAGTGATTGATAAAATGTATTGCAAATGTTCTTGAGTCTTTTGGTAAAATAATACAAAATCTAATTGACTGTGTCAGCCAAAAATGAAAATTGAAGAAGTTTAGAAGTTCATTTTTAAATTTCAATTTCAAATAACATTTCCTTACCAAAATTTCTTCCTTAAGGGACCATAAACAACCAAGTAACTGAAAACATTATCTCAAGTTAAATCACAAATCTCTGTGGAATAGATAGATATCTATAGATATCAGTATAGATGACTCATATTAAAGGCACTGAGTAAAAAGGAATTTATTTAGCCACAAAAAAACTTTTAAATACTTAAATGTCTTCCAGTTGCTCTGAAAATAACATCTCTTAAATATCCTGGAATCCATTTTTCTAGAACAATTGTAGTTTTTAATATGTTCTTACTTTCCTGATATCAAGAGACATAAGATTGGTTTTTGTTCTCATAAAAAATACGGCAACAGAAAAGCACTATTTAACTCTCTTTTTGTATATTCACACTCTTAGAAATTCTGATCTGCTGAACTGGGCTTCTTAATTAAAATAAGTAAATGGTTTGCTGTATTTCTTTCATTTTTTTTTGTTGGTTTTTAACGTTCAAGAGGTAATTTCTGGATTTTTATATTTCTATTTCATATTCATAGGAAATCAGTAGCGCACTCCACACACTTCTTGTGGCACCACAGAAGAAGTAGATTTTTTTATTACAGTAATCTACTCTTTCATGTGTATTTAGTGCTATTTCTGATACTTGGTTTGGGATGGTGGAGTTTATCTTATTTATGTTTTTAAAACTAAAATTTCACAAAGTATCTGTTTCTAACACATGCACTCTCAATCATCATTAAACAAAAGACATCATAAACTGTATGGCTTGACATGGCAAAGCTGCTAGAGACAACTACATCCAACACTGCAAATCATGAATTATTAAGACACAAAATCATTATAACTAGCTGAGTATCAAAGTTGTTATTAGACATGTTACATCCACTTGTAATGCTCTTAACTTTAAATCAGATTCCTCTTGCTGGAGAGTGGAAATGTAAGCATATGAACAGATGCCCTCGGTCACACTTGACCTAGCCTAGTCCTTGGGGCTAGCCCAGTTGTGAATGATGAAGAACAAAAAAAATGTCTATGAGTCCCAGACTCCAACTATTTTCACTTAAAATACTGCTTTAGTCAGTACTTTTTTTATCTTTAGTAGCTCCCAGACAATCTGTCTTATCTTAGAACAGTCTTCCTTCAGACAGACATAAATTTCAATACTTATACTACTGGCATCACCCATGCATTCCTTTTCTTTTGCTTTTTTGAATCTTGGTTCTACTTGACTCATTTGTTATCCCCTAATTCCTTGATTTTGGGTGATAGAAGAAAATGTATGGTATTCAAGTAGTTTTAAATATAGTAATTGTTAAGTTAATTGAAAATTATGAAGTTTCCTTGTTGCTGCACTGCTGGAAAGGCAGGAATTCAAATCACTGATTTTCTTTATCATTCAAAATTTTGTATATTTTTATTATGCTCTGCCTTTCTTCTTATTTATAAGAAGTAAGAATATTATTTCTCATTTTCTTTTTATCTGCATTTTCTCATGCTTTGACTTCCCATCTCAAAAACATTTCAAGTTCTGGGAGAAAGACATTAAGGTAAGAGGTGAAACAATGCACAAAAACTTGTAAACCTGAGAAGTGTGAAATGAAATGATTACACACAAACATGCAAGTGCTTACTGAAACAAAATATGGAATACTGAGCTTTCAAAATTAAAAAAAAAAAAAAAACTATAAAAACTATAAAAACTAATGTATTCCACAATGTAAAAGTTTAAAAAATCCTAATTTAGTTTCACAGAGTGTTATTATTATATTTTGCAGTTACTTATAGAATTTTTCTGAGTAGAAGGAAACATATCATTCATTGAATTTTATCACTTTAGTTTGATTTCAGAAGGGAATGGACTTATGTTCTGAACTTCCTGTCAACTTCAAGTTGAAGTGCTGGAGCAGATTTTCTTCCACTGTTCATATCATTGACAGTTCCACTGTGAATGCTGTTTTCTGTGATCTGGAAACCACAAGCTGGATGAGTGAATGGTGAGGTGGATTGAGAACTGGGTGAACTGCAGGACTCTGAGGGCTGTGATCAGTGACACAGTGTCAAGTATCCGGCTGTGTCCACCAGAGATCAATACAGGATCCAGCATTGTTTAACTTACTCATTAGAGGCCCAGATGTGGCGTATTTCTTTAAGGAACACAGTTTTGTACATGACTTTTCCAAAAAGAGTAAAATAAAGTAATTTTTTTGTCAACTGACTAAATCCAATTTAAGCAGGCCCATTTCTCTACATTCTAAAGGCAGATTGCTGAAGTCAATTTCTGTGTGAAGTTTTGGTGCTCTAAGTTAGGGAACGACATTGTTCATAACATCATTATCCATTCCCATCTGCTTTGTGAGGATGGCATTTTTTTGCTTTGCTGTAAATCAGAATTCAACTTCACACTCTTGCTCAGAGCTTTAACAAACACCTCGTTTTACAACATACAGAATAATATGTTTGTTAAGAAAGCAAAGTCTAACCAGCCTTTTATACAGCATTGCTGACTTTAGGTGCTTACTGTGTTCTGATTGCAAACACAATCATTTTCATTATTTCTCTAACAAGCAAAGCTCCATTTGCTCAAGAGGAAAGCGGATTGAACAGAAGAAAAGAAAGACAGTGGATTCCTAGACTGGCAGGTGAAGCTAGAAGGCATGTTTTGTTACACTGCATACTCGTATCTTAGAAGCCTCAGCTAACTTTGGACATGGTCACATACAAGTCACTTTCCTTGGACCAGTTTTAAGAGAAAAGCACCAGGAGAGCATGCTTCTTGAAGAGATACTGTGAGACCATAGAGTGGCAAGAAAAACAGTTTTAAGAGCCCCCCCAGAAATAAAGATTAAGCCCATAAAGGAAAACTGAACATGAAAGAGCACTTGAAAGAGCAAACCAAAGAATATTCTTTTTAATGAATTGGGAAGCAGAGAGACGCTCTTCAAGACCACTCAGAGAGTGATCAGGCACTGGAATGGCTGCCCAGAGAGGTGGTGGAGTCCCTGGCAGTGTTTAAGAGGCGCCTGGATGACGTGCTGCGTGATGTGGTTTAGTGCTTGTGGTGGCAATGGTGGTGAGGAGACGGTTGGACTGGATGATCTTATAGGTTGTTTCCAACCATGTGATTCTATGATTCTATGACTAGAAGAGTTCTTTTGTCACACATTTAGCACCCCTATTACAAGTACTTAAGTAATCAAGAGGGGAAAGAAAAGGAAAAAAAAGCAACATGCAGAGTAAAGGAGCAGTTTCAAACCACATCTATTTCAGAAATGTGCTAGCACGAACTTCATTTCTTTCCCACCACCCGTAGTTCTCCAGACCTTCCAGGGCAAATTTCTGGGATCTTCTCACAACAAAAAATATGAGGTAGCCACTCCCAGCAAGTGTGCACATGGCTAAGAAGTTAGCAAGCACCCTCAGGAACCGAGTCAAGTGAATATTTTCCTCCTTACGGCTCTCCTGCTCCTCCACGATAGCTTCCTGCACTTGTTAGAAACAAAAGATTATCAGTACTTTAATGGTCAAGACTCTACATTGCTTATCCTGTTAGAATTCAGTTAAATAAGTTGTGACAAAGCAAATGCACACCTGGGCATCATGTTTTCAGGCAAACACATATTGTATCAGAAAATCCGTTTTGGACCTTTATGGACTCTGGGGTTTGGGATCCCCAGAATTCACTTTGCTTTGATTTAGTGTATCCCCACTAATTCTCATTACACCTTCTCTCATGTTTCAGTATGAAATCAGCACTGCCTGCTTATGAGGTGCTGTGAGATTGAGTCACCAGCAATACACACATAGTTCGCTGCCAGAAAAGGAACTGTCACACTAAAAAAAATGCACATTTGTGATAAAACAGCAATACATATTGAGAATCAGAAATTGAGGGGGAATGAAAAAACTGTTTACACTTAGAATTACAGGAAAACAAACAAACAAACATTACACAGCTTCAGACTGTAATATGAAATGTTTGCCTAGTATTTACCCTTGGCCATGACTCTGCTGTAAAAGAAGTCTCAAGCTTCCTGCTTTTGCCAGCAGAAACAGAATTTCTCTCTGTAATGTCTTCATGAAAAAGAAGTTTGTTTACAGCTTCTTGTTTTGATAGAGACATCAGTTGTGCAGAAGGGAAGCTGGATTCTTGAATTGTAATTTTATTTATTTGTTTATTTTTTAATCTTGATTTCACTTTTCCTACTGCATGTGTTCATTATGTAAAGGAAAGGAGACTGCAGCAGCTTTTAAGAAAAACCTCGAGAACATCAGCCAAGCTAAGGCTTCACACTTTCCTTGTTGGCAAAAATTACAGTAAATGTTCATGAGTGTATTTCTCAAAAATAAGTCCCCATCTCAACTGATTTATGTTCTTCTCCAAATGTCATTCAATAGCTGACTTTCACAGGCAGGCATGGAAGTTTCAAAGACATTCAATGCTTAGTATTTTGTGTCTGTTTTCCTAAGACCTTTTCTTTCCATTTATCTTACATGCAGATAAATTTTATGCCTATAGTTGGAAAGGTGGGCAGTATGTAGAAACAAACTGGTTATATCACTAGTGCAGAAAGAAACAGTGTGGTGCATGATAGGACAGTATAGCTAATGCTTGGTTCTCCAGTTCCTATTGCTGTTTAACATCATGACTGCAAATCCAGTTGGTTAAGCATCTAGGTTCCAGACAGTTTATACTTGGCATTAGTTTCATCTGATTCACAATAATGTGAAAGATAAATCAAATTACATCTCTCTAGTGATCTTTGTTTTACCTTAAAGCTGGTAGTGATGGAAGCAAACTTATTATCTGCTGTCTCAGGATTGCCAATCAGGTAGTCCCAGCTTGTGAACATTTTCCAGCTGAAATTAAAGCTAGTATCATCCCCACCACCATCATCATTTGCATTCCTTGCCATTCTACAAAAATTGAAAAGATGCAGAAAGGCTCAATTAGAGCTAGTTTTGCTCTGAATGTTTTTAAAATTCTACTTAAAGTTCGAACTCTATTCTGAAATACATATATTTTATTATAATCACTCATGAACAAAATCTATTTCAAACAAGGGAAAACAATGGAGATTTTGATTTTTTTAGAGAATTTATCAGATAATAATACTCATTTTCATGAGAAAAAAAATCAATGTATCTCGTGAACATCTCAGAGGAATTCTGCTGAATAAGAAACTCAAACACAATGTTAGGTAGATCTCTCAAAAAAGTTGCAGTAGATTTTGATTAGAGACTTCATTAAGAAGAAGAGAATAATTCTAAAATAACTAGCCAAAACAAAATAAAAAATCACTAAATAAAGCTCTCAGGCTTGCCTCCCATTTCACATGTATTTTTAAGTGAGATTTGTAACAGTACCCACAAACATCAAATTCCTTCTTAATTGTTTTGATCTCATCTTGACTACTAAATTTACTCATTTAATCTTGGACATTGCATTGATTTTTTTTGGTCAGGAAAATGCAATCCTTTTTTTTTTTTTTTTGAAGCTGTAGATTCATTTTATTAATATCAATACGTAGTATATAACTTATTTCTAACTGTCCAGTGAAATTCATACACTCAAATAGAGAAATAGAATTATAAGTCAGGGGCACAGCAAACGCTTTGGAGCTGGCATAGTCTAATGCCAGTTTGTTGTTGTTGTTACTGTTTATTTACAGAAAGGCATATTATGAAACACTCTTGATAGGATCTGCCCTGCTGCTGATTTTAGACTAAGGTAATTTTAGACTAAGGTAAGAGCCTAAAATTCTAAAGAGTTCCTAACAAAATAGAGAACAATCCTGTGCTCAGAATGTCATTTATTTGAGACCAGAAATGTTTCCATATTGTTTCCATAGGATGAGTTGTAGAGTGAAGCTGTAATTATAGTTATTTTTCCTAAATACAATAATACTACTTATACTCTTCACCAACTCTTTCATGCATTCATGCATTCTCTTTCCAGATGAAAATTAACAGGACATGTTGCACTACTTTCTGGAAAAACAGCAATAATCAGTAGACTGCAAGAGCTGCTCTTAAGATCACCTAGTAACAGACCAGCAGTAATGTCACATGGCCAGGTGAGAAGGAAGAATCTACATACAGCATGATTTCCCTCTGTTTTGCACTCAGGAATCCTGTTAGAATAATTTTTAGCTTTAGTTTTTATTTGTCTGTGTGACTATCAAATATTACTCTCTTTTTAATCTTCACAAATACATAAATAACTATTATAAAGGATGTTTTCAACCTAAATTAATGACTTTTATTATTGAATGAGTGTTTTGTTCTCCAAAATACAAATGTGTAATTGAAGAGGTTTTTTCTGTTTTTTGTTGTTGTTGTTGTTGTTTTGTTTTGTTTTGTTTTTTCCCCTTCTGGAATGCTTTTTTCCTATGCAGGAAACCATATAACAGTTGAAAAACTGAATATGATTTAATCTAGTGCTTTTGAAAGTGGAAAATGTTGGCTACATCACAAAATACTGGAATATTTTAACTGTGATTTTCTTTAAATTCACAAATGTCCTTGCATCCTGACCTACAATGTTCCAATTATTCCAAACTAAGAAACTTCTAAATCTGTTTTTCTAGCTAAGGGCATTTGTTGAGGTAGGTGATCACTGTACTTGAATCAAGGTTATTAAACACTATGTTCACTAACAGTATATCTCCTCTGAAACTATTAGAATCATCATTGTTTATACAAATAATATAAAATAATAGTGAATGAATATTCATCTAATTCTGCTAGTAAGATAAAATTTAAATCCAGAATTTGAGAGCCAAAAGCCTAAAACCTCACTAGTTGTACTGCCTAGGCCCAGTTTCACTTACACATATGTTTCCTACTGATTTAACTTTATGTTTACTACATTTCATTAAGCACAGTTTTCCTGGATAAAACGCTGCCGGAGATAATTATTTTCGGGACATTAAATCTTCACTGTGATCAATATTATTCTTTGATACTATTGTGTAAACATGACTTAACCACTATAGACTTGTGGACAGTCATTTACTGCTGGCTATGAATTACATAGAGAATTATTTGCCAAATGTTTCTTTCTTTTTTGCCTTCTTTCTCCTTAATTCAATTCACATAAGGTATCACTGAAAGAAGAACAGTTGAATTTCCAGAATGTTAACTGCCATTATGCTAGATGCAGAGCATTATGAAAATATGGTCTGACGGTTCTGTTCCTTACTTCATGCATTCATTTCACAGTTTGAAGTTGCAGGAAGGAAGTACTGGTATTTCTGTGAGGATTTTTCCCAGCGACAAAACACTGAAAGACAGCTGCTGCAAAAGTAAATAAGAACAGGCCCAAGGAATTATATACAACTTTAACAGAATTCAGCTTTTCCTTGCATTTTCGCTCTACTGATGTTGCATTTGTCCTGCTCTTAAGATTGCTACATTCCAAAGTGTATTTTCTGAAAGAAAATCCGAGTGACTAACATTGATATTACTTGTTTTTATAAGTGTGAACTTACGTTCGAATGACAATCATAAAGCTGTAGCCAATAGTCCCAACGCCAACAAGGAAATAGGAAAGAGGCATCCTGAACTTGAGCCATCCAATTGTCCTCTGATTATTGTAATAACCGTAAAAAAGCACAGAATACTGTGCAAAGCCCTGAAAATTTAACAAGAAGATGTAACATCACAAATCTGTTAGAAATGCACAGAATCAGAATCCTACCAGTTTCAACATGATGAAGCGTTATTTTCAAGTGTGTTCAAAATGGTCATAGGCATTACGGTAATAAAGCTCACAGGAAGGAGGAAAACCATTTTTGTAATATTAAAAAAATAGAATACTTAATGTAAATTTTCAAATCTTTTACCTTTAAAACTTTTCATGGCAACTCTATCTACAATTAAATAAAATTCATCTTCATATTTTGTTTTATAAATTACTTGCAACAGAAATGAAATATTTTTTGCTTCATTTCCACATTCTTGCATAACTTATTTGACAAAATTCTCATGTAACTTTTTTGTCTAGTAGCCCTTTTCTGTTCACTGGGTGATCATTTAATATGTTAGTCATTACATAACTACATTTTTTTGGATGATTATTCACTATGTAGGTGTTTTAAAAACATTTAGACTCCAAGGCTATACAGAGTGTGAGGTAGGCATATGTTTCTTTTCAGCAGTCTGGGCATTTTTTTTATTTTTCTAAAAGCAACAAGAATCCCCTTCCCTTCTACAGATCAGTTTGATGATTTTTCAGGGTAATTTACTAGTACATGGTTAACTATAAACAATTGCTGGTGTCTAAAATGATCCAAATAAATGAGGCTTTCTGATAATCCTCAGATTACAGCTAGAAGACTGTACGTAGAAACTTTCTGACAGCAGCTCACCATGGCTACAGCTCCAGTTGAATGCAATGAATTCAAGTCAAATACAGTGTTCTGTCAAAATGCAATTGGTGGATAGATCATTTTGACACTGATACAGTAATATGAGGTTTCTGTTAGTTGAAAAGAGCCATTTACTTCCCTTCTGGTGTTCAGTATCTCATATTATTTAAAAGACATTTCTCATTGCAACATGCACTTTGTCTATAGTAGCTGTCACTACAACTGAATCATAGTATAAACTAAAAGAAAATAGATTTAGCAGTTATTAGCTGAAAATGAAGTATATGCCATAAATAATTATTAAATAAATAAATTATATAAAATAATACTCTTAACTTACTTTGTAGCATTCCATAACTGCTACCAAATAAAAGACTACTTAATTGAAGATATCACTGTTTTCAGGCAATATTTTTCAATCTGACATTCCTCAAGAAAATTCTTTTTTACCCTCAATATTTTAGAGGATTCATTCCTTTCATTGCCCTCTTCTATTTTAATTTCCATTGCATCTGCTCCCTGTATTAACTGCTGCTTTTATTTACTAAACTTTCTACATAGCTGTCAAATGCTGTTTCTCTCTGTTGTTATAACTTCCTCCTCCTTCTACCTTCTGACTACATTCTTCATTTCTCAGCTCTATTTATTTTCAAAACTTTATTCCTATTTGCTGCATAAGCCTCTTTTAGTCTGTATTCTCTTTATAAAGGCTTCAATTCACTACACAATTCATATTTCTCCAATAGCTCCCTGACGCTTTAATATCTGTTTAAAATCTCATCATTATCTAAATTCCCAGCTACATGTCTAGACATATTCTTCCTGTCATTCAAGTATGTAACTCCTGATGAGCTAAACATTTTATGCAGCAGTCCTTGGAAAATATTATACAGACGTTTTCCTAGAAAAGTAATGTTCACTTCTATCCATATCTATACAAGAAGGGACCATTGTGGAATTAGTAAAGCAGAAGTCATCTGACCACTTTATATGTATTTACAGTCAAAAGAGAGACAATCAATGTGTTTTCTACATATTACTACATTAGTTTAACATACAGCGTTTTGCAATTAACAAGCCTGAAAGACTTTGCTCATAAATGAGAAAATGAATTTACGAAGTTAAGTATTTTCCCGTGTTCAGTGGTCTGATTACCAGATTCTTCTTGCACTGTTGGCTGAATATTTAAAATAAAGACAAAAAGGAGCCAAAATGTGAAGGCATTTCAGGCAGTACATAAGAGTACTGAGCTACAAAGAACCCTGAGATCTAGATATTAGAAGATTAAGAATCTCTATACACCCGAACCAGAGTCAAAAATGCTAATATTAAGGAGAGGCATAATCATTCCACATTACTATATCTTTTTTAGGGAAGATAACAGATGGGTTTAATGCTGGATACATACAAAAATTTTCCTGTGCCCTGATGAAAATGCTCAAGCAGAGCTTAGCATTCAGCACTGTTCCATGCCACCAGCACAGGTGGAGCAGGATCTCAAAGACACCAAAACCACACAGAGAAGCTGTTTCTAAACGTAAGTCAGTATGCTAATGATTGGATGCACTGAGCTCTAAGTTGGAGGAATTTGCACTTGAGTTTATTTCCCAAAGAAATTAGTTTGGTTGCAACAATTATATTTGTGTTTTCTACTGCTGCAAAAACTCAAGTGCTAGAAGATACATCTTTACAGTATTGGTGCTCCTTAGAGAAAAGGAGTGCAGCAGACTGAGAGGTAGATTACTCACTATTATCTCAATGGATGCTGCTTCTATCAATATGAAGGAAAATCTTAACTAGACTCACACCATTTCACAGATGAAAAATACCTTTTTTTGACCACTATCTATAGACCACTGTCTATAAAGAACTCTAACAACCTTCTAACTAATATGCTGCAATACAAAATTTATCCCCAGCTGACTTTATACCAAGTTGGATCATCTTTATACAAAGAGGAGAACAGCAGAAACATGTCACATGCAAAATTAGACTAGCTGTTTTCAGGATGAAAAAGGAGAATGACACCTTTGGGAATAAACTGCTAACCTACTAAATACAGATGATCAAATTCATCCTTAATAGACCCTCAATATATAGAGATGTGGATCCAGTACAGAAAATTTTTCCAGTGAGTCTTTGTATTGCTTAAAATACTGAAATGTATATGTGGACTCTGAGATTTGTCATAAATTTTACCTCTGTGAAAAATCTATGCTCAGAATTTGGGTAAAAATGAAATAAATTACTTCTACTTCAATTTTCTCCTGAAATATTCCACATTAAATCTTCAAATATTAAATAATGAATCCAAAGTTCTTAATAATCAAAAAGTCATGTGAAAATGCATCATTGCAAGATTATGCACTTACACTAAAATCCCAAAGGGTAGCAAAGTTCATAGCTGTAGCTTCTTCAGCTCTTGGAACAGTTTTTCTAGGTAAAGAGCCATATGGCTTTCCCATCAATGCCTAGAAACAAGAAATGATAGCAATTTACATTTTAAAGCAAAATACCAACAAAGGGAAGGGATAGTGATCTGTCAGTTCTTAGGAAGACTCTCCTTGTGCTCCTTAGCGCCTTAATGAGAATGACCTACTTCCCCACCTTCTCACATTAATATTTGAAACTATGCCTAAAGTATGCATTAATGATATTTTCTACATTTAAAGTGACATTTCACTAGCATCAGTGTGTTATCATGTCACAGTCAAAGGCAATAATGCTCAAATTCATCAGAAGAGCTTGTTTTAAAGACAAAACCAAAAGATTAGTTTCTCTTGTAAAATGGGATTTCATTGGTTATTTAACTGAAATACGTGGGAAGATGCAAGGGATACCATTTTTGGATTCTCAATCCCAGTGTTCTGGCAAGATGCCATGAGTATACATCCTCATGGGATACTTCCCAGGCCTTTCCCTGTGAATAGCTGGGCATATTCTCTTGTGGAAATGGATCACACAATTGAAATGTTATACTAAGGAACAATTGGAAATTCCCAATTTACAATTTCTGATTTGTAAATTGGGAATTTTATAAATTTGGGAATATTCTCTAGAGAATAAAGTGAGAGATTGAGAAAGATTGAAAGAGAGTAGATGAAAGAACAATTTCAATTTCATACCAGCCCTCTTTTTTGAAAAGTTCAGCACTATTTTAGGCCATGCAAGACCATTTTGGGGACAGAATCTTAACATACATTTTTCTGTTAAGACTAATTCAAGATAACTCTCTAAAGACAGCCTTCAATGAAGAAAATATGCCTTTATGACTTTTGTACATCTTAAGAGTTTTTAATGGCACATAACGAGATTATAAAATTTGAAGGTCAGGTCCTATGAAATGTCACAGCAAAGACAGAAATTTACACACCAATCTTCAATGAAAATTTAAAAAAATCACACCTCAGGCACCATTACAAGTCCAAACGTCAGACCAAAGAGAATCATGTTTATTCCATACATCCAGCGTAAGAATATGAAATAAGATGCTACCGATGACCCAAAGTGACCTATGAAAACGTAAGATGTAAAAAAAAGGGAATATCAGTTAGTCTTTACATGATCCTGTGGCCCAGAACAAGCTAAAATGTTGGACTCTCATGGTCTAGAGCTCTGCCTGTTTCATGGGTTCTTTTGGACCAGTGTTAATATCCTCATTCTTTTGGGAATGATTTCAGGAAGCAGAAAGCAACATGGAAAATGGTGAGAACAAGTTTTTTATTCACTACCGTGGACAGCATAAAACTAAGCAGAGTTTAAAATGAAGTTTTATTTTCTAGGGCTTATAAACTGCAATTACCTTTTTCTTCCTCTTCCTTACTCTGTTTCCTTACTATTCATTTCTTAATACTGAATGATATTGGTGATTATCATAGAAAGGACTCTTTCAAGAATTTTTGTGTCTGAACAATGGAGGTCCACCTACTGCTGGCCCACAGAGCCAGAAGAAGAAAGGTCTCTATAACTTTTAAATGTGTAGTTAATGCCAGTCTGCATTCATATGAGTGCTGCTCTGAAAGTAATGCCTCCTATTTTATTATGCTGGCCAACAATGTCAGAGACAAACAATGGTGGTATGGAAGTAGAGGAGGTTCAAGTTGCATAGTACGAAAAATTTCTTCTCCAGAACAGTGTTCAAGTGCTGGAATGGGCTGCTCAGGAAAGTGGTTGAATCATCGTCCCTGGAGGTGTTCAAGAAATGTTTAGATGTTCCACTAAAGGACATCGTTCAGTGAGAAAATATTGGTGGTAGGTGGACAGTTGGACTGGATGATCTTGGAAGTCTTTTCCAACTTTGGTAATTCTATGATTCTATGACTCCATGATTTCCATCAATACCCTGTTACTTTCTGTTGCCATGAGACAGATGGCAGCAGAGGGACAGTGACAAAACAGTGTCTGACATGGAAGTGAATATGAAGCAAAGGTTTTTCACTGAATGACGCCCACTGACATTCACTGATGGTTGATGAATACTTATGGAGACCAAATAGCGGATGTGAGCACGGTGAGGCAGTGGGTAGTGCGTTTCAGCAGTAGTGACAGTGATGTGACAGGTAAGCCACAGTCTAGATGACCATGCACAAATGTCACACCACAAAATGAAAAGTGTCTCAATAAGTTAATCCATGCAAATCAGCAGATTAAGACCAGAGAACTGTACGGAGTTCAATATCACCTTCAGTGTACTGAAAACGATTGTGGCAATGTTGGTACATCAGGTGGGTCCTACAGATCCTCAAACAAGAACAGAAAGAATATTTTATGCAAGTTAATCAGGGCCTATATATGAGCGCAGCATGCAGACTCCTGTTCATCATGGGAGAACATGTGTAGTTAATGGTGGCGGCTATTTTGAAAAACAGTGTTCTGTTATTGTGCTCCCTGTATGCCTTGTAGGAGGCTTTACTTTCAGAGCAATCATTATATTCCTGCAATAATTCTAATCTATAAGGCAAAGATTGATTTGAGACAAGTCATACTTTCTTATTCAGCTGCAAGTGAAAGACTGAGGAATAAAGATGAGTGTTTCCCAGTGGTAAGAATATTCTACTTACTGCCTACTGTTAACACTTACAGCCTCACCTGCTTGGAATTCTTTTATAAACAACTCATTTTGAGACCAGAAAATGAAAATCATCTTCATGTAAGAGTACAGAAATGACTTATGCTTAAAAATAACTGGTTAGAAGTTAACAGCTAAGGAGATTTGCTGAGTATTAACCACTTCCTCACATAAATGTATTCAGACAGATAAGGAAGTCTCCTATAAAGAGTATTCTGCACATAGATGACAGGCTTTTATTTCATTCATAAGCTTTCTACTTACACTTTCTATTAGTTAGGATCAACACTCAAATAGAATTTGAAGTTTCATAAATTTTAACTCTTTCAGCTGCTGCTGACATCACCTACTGCATTTGTTGGTATTTATATCTCTGTGCTTAATGGCCACTTTTGTGTTCAAAGAAAATAGCTCCTAGCGTAATATTAGCATTTACCCTAGAGTATTACTTTAAAATGTTACCTCTGGTTTCTTTGGAATAAGAAGCTGTTTGTCTATTTATAATCCCTTGGTCCTTCTGTTGCATAGAGCAGATGCTACTTAGAAACATTCATTTTCAGGTATGTTGATCTAGTGAATAAAATACACCAGATGGTATATTTCTTCTGATGGTAAAAAATAATCACAAAATAAATTCTAGTGTGAACTTGCACTACTGTGTAGCAATATGGAAAGCAATTGTACAGACACAGTTCTAAAGAAATGAACTGTGTCAGTGCATTTTATATTCATTTTATATAGTGCATCAGGTTTCTAAGACTGGTTCAAACAATCTATTTTGCCTGTCACAATCTGATATTTGCTGCATATTTTACTGTACTGTCTCCTTCAGAAATGAGCAGTTGAGTAGACGATGGTTGATTTCTTCAGTGCAACTACATTTTGCTGCAAAACTACAACCCATCACAGACACAGTGGTGTCTGATGATGATATCTGTATGCTAAGTATTGATCCTAGAGTACAATCCTAGTGTTTGACAGCTTTCTTTCATCTCTCCTCATTCTTCTGTGCATTCTGAGGGATCCAGTGTTCAAGTGTGAGGTAACTTCTGCCAACAGGATTCTCTGAATTGTTCAGTGTGTTTCCTTCAGCAAGACCTATTATGTGCTTAAGTCAGTAGTGTTACTGTTGTTACACAAGTAATTAAACTTAGTCTGGAAAGAGAAAGCCACTGGCATTGTGACATAGGAGCCAAAGGGCAACCAAGTCTTTGTTCGGTTTGTAGCCATCTAGAAGCCCATTTCCTCCTGCAAAGTTGCTTCTGCTGCGTCTTTAACACAACTGCACTGCTGCAGACATCAACAATTAAGAAAATTTTATTTCGTGGAGTTCACGCATACCAACTTGAAGCTGTGTGGAATATATTCTGTATTTGATTTCTAATTACATCTGGAGGTTTTGACCAGAGTTTGATAATAAAATAAGGTTTTTTAAAAGTGATCTCATACTAGCTCTGCTAACTTTGCAACACCTCTTAAATAAGTCTAAAGATTATGAAAAAAACGTCATAGAAATAATTATGATATACAGACAAAATAAAGTGGAGGTAGACAACAACTAAATTTCAATATCTCTTTTCCAAGTTTAACTTTGATACTGTCTTATTATCTGTAAGGTGCCTAACATTCTCTCAAGGACATTTTGAACAGGTTACAAAATCAATTTTAATATTAATGAAAGAAGAAATATTCATGTGTTTTATACCTGTATGTATGAACAAGGAAGTACTTCTAAAGTACTGTAATTTAGAATTTTGGCATGCATTAGAGATACAATACTAGATAGTACTCTTTATTATCATTCACAAGTACTTACTTTCAATCTCTTTAATTTTCATTTCCCAGGGTATGCAGGCTGTCTTAAAATTCTCAAAATCTCTTTGGAATTTCATCCATTTCTGAAACATTCATGGAGTTTAAAAAAATCATTTCTGACACCTGATGTTCAATTTCCCTTTGAGCTAACTAATATAACCCCGTAGTCATACACACAGTTCTTTGGCAGAACACACTGTGGCAGAAGCACTAGCTTATGAAGAGTCATCTCTTTTTCGTTTGTTCTGAATATGTCTCCCACTGCCTTTATGTGAAGTTCCCATTTCTTCCACAAGAAAAGTGATTATATAATCCCTTCCTTTCATGACATTCAGTTTTTGGAATTGTTTCTGAGAATTTAATTTGTTCTTTCCTTTGCTATACATAATTCAGATTTGGAGCTCAAGCTGTGTCATTTAATTGCAATTACTCTACTTACTACTTTATCTATTGGATAAGTGGAACTTCCATAATTGAGCTTCTTGTGCACAGCTCAGTTTTAAAGCCTAATACCTTTTTTGTGAATATTAATGTTAATAAGATGTGACTACACAGCTGCCTGCAGAAAAGCCAATTTACCTAAGGATAAACCTGGATAGAATAAGTAGTCCTGTCAAACATTTGTAGTATCATTCCACAACAGCATTTCATTTTGAGTAGGAGTGTACTTTTGAAATGAATCTTCCAAACCAGCCAATTTACCACATTCACTTTAAAGATCTACCAAAGTATAAAACTCATTCGAAAAACATACTTTAGAAGTGTACTAATCCATATCCACTGCTGTGTATTTAGTTCATGGAATCACTTGGATCAAAGTAAAACTGACCAGAACAAATATAATGTGGACATGGAGTACTCAGCAACAACTTTTCAGCCTCTCAATCACACTCTTGCAGCAACACGTAGTTTCCTAGAATATATCTGAGATATTGCTTGTGTTTTGACTCAATAGAGGCGCCTCTGGTATCTTTACAGTGGGCAAAAAGGCATTTTCTGATTCTCAGGATCAATGGAAAGACTAGGCTTAAGATCCAGACTGTAGAGAAACATCTACACCAATAGAAATTTTTTCAAGGGATGTGTTCAGATATGAGTCTTTATAACTCCAGCAAAACAGTTAATTTTTCTATTGATAAAGTCTCAATTAAACACCTGATAAGCAGATGATAAGTCCCAATCAAACTGTGAGCTTAATTAGAAATTGTTTCATGTGCAAACAGAGGAAACAAAAGCATTAATAACCAGATAAAGACAAGAAAATTTGTTTTGGAAAATGAGTACATATAGCCACCCAAGACTCCACTTTTGTGTGACATGAAGTTAGTAAAGTAATACACTTACCTTGGTCATCATCACTTTGTACGCATAGAACTTTTTTCCCTTTCCTTTTCCAAGAGCACCTTCAAATTTTTCAACAAAAAGCTGTGCTTCTCTGGAAAATAAGGGCAAAAGAAAGGCACAGATGATTACATTCTTTTGTTTCTGTGCTTCCCAAGATTATGCAAACTACTGAATTCAGCTTTCACTCTTTGAGTCCCATCTGAGCACTCTCTTTCCAAATGCTCACGCCTAAATCCAGCTGATGAGGTATCAGGACTAGTGCCAATTCTTCCGATATCCTCAGGATTACAGAAGGCTTTTTCCTAGCAATTTCCCCCCCCCTTTTTTTTTTTCCTTCAAAGATTTGGGTTGGTAGAAGGAAAAACTGTTATACATTTAGACAAGAATCCCAAGACAGTAACTTTTCCTCCCTACCCCCTCTTTTTTGTCCCTGAGGCAAAACACGTAGACTCAGAGAAAAATAAAATAAAATAGCCAACCACCACTCAGATACACAGCCACACATGCCATTTCTTCACCACTTCAAAGTGTTCCTCAGGATCCTTTTAAGACTCTAGAGATCTCTTACTCTGTGCTGCTGCATCACATTTATATTCTGGATCTTGGCATCTGACTTTTTTTTACTTTAGCTGATTTTGACATCAGATCGAGCCCTTTGCATTTTCTAAATCACCCAAGTATCACCAAGTAATCACCAGGTATTCTGGCTCACATCTCGTTCTTTCCTTTTGACTCTACTACGACCTATCTCAAACAAATGAGAGAAAACAGGTTTCTCATCTTCAGGAAAAGTGGACAAGAATCTCATTTAAACACATATGTTCAGGATTTAAAATCTTATTTCACCGTCTGGAAAGATATAAGCCACTGTTAACGACAGGTGGCAGCGTCCTCACAAATGCTGCACTTGCAGAATCAATTTGGACACATCCCCTAAGTCACCATACCATATTTCTCACTTAAGAGAAATACCTTTTACCATCACTTCTGTCATCAAAGAACCCAAACAGTGGGCTATTTCATGAAAAATTGCTGAAATTGAAGCCTACAGAAACTGTAGAAAGCCTATGCTTTTGGTCAAAAACTACATGGAGTTATGATGCAGAACTAAAAGATTTCAAAACATAGGCATTGGGGAACATTTTATTTGTTTGTTTTGTGTCGTTGTTGTAGTTTGCTTTTTTAATGAAGCATTAAATTAGAAATTTAAAGGGGAAAACAACCACTAACACTTTGAAAATCCTCCACATTGGACAGTTTGTATCTGTATCTGGAAAAGGTACTCCACAAAAAAAAAATTCTACAATGAAATTAAGCCAGAACAAGAATGAATTTTACACAGTGTAAATCATATAAAGATTTACTTTAATCTCAATCTACGCCTTGTGTTTGCTTGTTTTATATGTCTTATTGAAATTTTTCTTTAAGATTAAACAAAAAACAAAAAACAAAAACAAACAAACAAACAAAAAACATCAAAAAGAAGCTGTCTCTGCTTCCTGGACTTTCTATCAAGCAATTTTTCAAGAGCTTTGATATTATTTAAGCTTTTACTCAATTTCTGACTTTCTACAACAAACCAAAACTAATTTTTGACATGATGATCCAAATCTTCAGGGCTGACATTGCTGACATCCCTGAGCATATTCTTTGATTTCACTTTGCTGGTGGCTGAGATCTCTCCCTTCTCTAATACTGCCCTATGCCCATTTGAACAAAAAGAGGTCCAGCAAGGCCAAGTGGAAGGTGCTGCACTTGGGCTGGTGTAATCCCAGGTGTTTATAGAGACTGGGTGAAGAACTGCTTGAGAGCAATCCTGCAGAGAAGGACTTGGAGGTTCTGGTGGAAGAGAAACTGGACATGAGACAGTAGAGTGCCCTTGCAGCCTGGAAGGCCAAATGTGTTCTGGGTGCATTAAAAGAGGAGTGGACAGCAGGCAGAGAGAGGTGATTGCCCCCCTCTACTCAGCTCTTGTGAGGCCCCATCAGGAATGCTGCATCCAGGCCTGGGGCCTCCAGCACAGGAAAGACACAGAGCTCTCGGAGCGGATCCAGAGGAAGGCCAATAAGATGATCAGAGGGCTGGAGCACTTCTTTTATGAAAAAAGGTTGAGGGAACTGGTCTTGTTTAGCTTGGAGAAGAGAAGCCTCCATGGAGACCTTACTGTGGCCTTCCAGTACTTGAGGGGAGTGTATAAACAAGAGGGGGAGCAGCCATTTACGATGGTGGATAGTGATAGGACAAGGGGAAATGGCTTTAAACTGAGACAGGGGAGGTTTAGGTTAGGTGTCAGGAGGAAATTTTTCACACAGAGAGTGGTGTGGCACTGGAACAGGTTGCCCAAGGAGGTTGTGGATGCTCCATCCCTGGAGGCATTCAAGGCCAGGCTGGATGTGGCTCTGGGCAGCCTAGTCTGCTGGTTGGTGACCCTGCACATAGCAGGGGGGTTGAAACTCGATGATCTTTGAGGCGCTTTTCAACCCACGTCATTCTATGATTCTATGAAAAATGATTGGAATAACTTTTTCTGGATGTCATCTCCAAGCAATTGGAAGAGAAGACGGTTATCAGGAGTAATCAATATGGACTCACCAAGGAAAAATCATGCTTGACCAACCTACTAGCTTCTGTGATGTCATCACTGGCTGGGTACATGGAGGGAGAGCAGTGGATGATATGTTTCCTGATGTTTGTGTTTTAAACACAAGGCATTTAACAACATGTCCCACAACATTCTACAATGAAGTTGAGATAGATGAATGGACAGTGAGGTGGGTTAAGAACTAGGGTTGGCATCAGTAGTGCAGAGTCCGGTTGAAGGAACACCTGGAACTCTTCACCCTGGAGAAGACTGAGAGGGTACCTCATCACCTTTTGTAAGTATCTGAAGCGCACGAGCCAAGTGTGTGAGATCAGGCTCTTTTCAGTTGTGTGTAAAGACAGAACAAGGGGCAGTAGTAACAAAATAATAACAAACTGAAACACAGGAAGTTTCATAGAACACAAGGAAAAATGTATTTACTGTTGAACTAGCAGAGTGCTGAAACAAGTTGCCGAGATAGGTTGCAAAGTCTCATTCTCTGGTGATACTCAAGACCCATCTGGACGCCCACCTGTGCTGCCTGCTGAAAAGAGCCTTTAGAATGGGGTTGGAGTTGATGACCTCTGGAGATACTTTCCAAACCCTTCTGTGATTCTGTCATTATGCAATTGAAATAAATGAAATTCTTCTGTAAAAATCTTCCTAGCTTTGAAAGCTCAGCAACAACACGACAACATTCAGTCAGGGAACAGACTTTCAGTGTATTTTCCATGCCTGTGCTACATGTTTTTTTTGTTAAGTATAAACCAATATGTTATTTAATTCAGCTTTCTACCTTGACATTTAATCCTCCTCACTCAAAAGGCCTCCATTTAAACATCCTAGTAGACTTTCACCACACTTTGTCCTTTTCATTTTTTCTTTTATTCTAAGAGTAGAATGTGAAGAAACATGGAATAATCAAGCAGTATAAATTAGTCTTAATCTCATAGAATTCTTTTAGAAACCTCAACAATTACCAAAAACACACACATACGCACGCACACCCCCTTGGAAGTAGTGCAACTTTACTAACATGAGGACGTGTCAAAAGCAACACAGGGCAACAAAACTGAGCTTTGTAATAGCTGGTATCATGTGTTATACGTAAATTATCTATATCACAAGATAGGCCAAAGTGTGCCCTGTTTGCTAACTGTGAATTTAAAGAAGCTTGAGAGCAACCTTATTAATTGAATTACAGACACAAGGAACTTATAAATGTTGCATGGAGTCCAGCATTATTGTCCCGGAGAAGCCTGAGCTAATTATTAATAAGAGGTGTGGAGTTACGGCTCCCAAAGTGCTAGGTGTACGGTACTTCGAGCACTTCAGTGTTGCATAGAGAGGATAAATTACAGCACTCAGAGGTTGCTGCTAATGAACAGGATTCAAGCAGATTGCTCACATTTTTCAGTAACAGTTCAGGAAGGTCTAAAAACTCATTAAAAACAAATGTTGTATAAATATTGATCACCCAGGACTTTTCCAAGTCTAAAAAGATTGGCTTAAAACTGAATGTCAAACAGCTGTTGCCGGGTCCATCTCATTTGAAAACAGTTCAGCAGTAATAATGAGCAAATTATAGTGTTATTCAATACCCAGCTGGCCTTCAGGACAGCCAGGCTGTCCTCCAAGACTGCCAACATGTTCATAGTAAGAGACGTGAAATACAGATTCATTGGACTGCAAATAGCCCATCCAAAGATACATATAGTGCAACTTTATTTATAAGTTTGTATATATAGATACACATATATAAGGAGGTGCATGGATATACATATGTATATCCTTGGGTTTTCTATGCTTAAAAAATATTCTATTTTCACTTTATCCGTGTTGATGTGTTCTTCTAGGATAAAATAAGCAATACTTCAAAAAGAAGGAAGGAAGGAAGGAAGGAAGGAAGGAAGGAAGGAAGGAAGGAAGGAAGGAAGGAAGGAAGGAAGGAAGGAAGGAAGGAAGGAAGGAAGGAAGGAAGGAAGGAAGGAAGGAAGGAAGGAAGGAAGGAAGGAAGGAAGGAAGGAAGGAAGGAAGGAAGGAAGGAAGGAAGGAAGGAAGGAAGGAAGGAAGGAAGGAAGGAAGGAAGGAAGGAAGGAAGGAAGGAAGGAAGGAAGGAAGGAAGGAAGGAAGGAAGGAAGGAAGGAAGGAAGGAAGGAAGGAAGGAAGGAAGGAAGGAAGGAAGGAAGGAAGGAAAGGAAGGGAAGGAAGGAAGGAAGGAAGGAAGGAAGGAAGGAAGGAAGGAAGGAAGGAAGGAAGGAAGGAAGGAAGGAAGGAAGGAAGGAAGGAAGGAAGGAAGGAAGGAAGGAAGGAAGGAAGGAAGGAAGGAAGGAAGGAAGGAAGGAAGGAAGGAAGGAAGGAAGGAAGGAAGGAAGGAAGGAAGGAAGGAAGGAAGGAGGGAAGGAGGGAAGGAGGGAAGGAGGGAAGGAAGGAGGGAAGGAAGGAAGGAAGGAAGGAAGGAAGGAAGGAAGGAAGGAAGGAAGGAAGGAAGGAAGGAAGGAAGGAAGGAA